CTATCATATTACATTAATAATAAAAATAAAATAAACTTTTATAATTTTTTTTATAAAAATTTAAAATAAAAACTATAATTAATACATCTGTGACTTATATTCTAAGTACAAAAGTTTTTAATATTGAGGATAGATGGTTCACCAAGTCCATTACATTTGTCATTGATTCGGTGCACTTTTATGATCTTTATCAATTGTAAATTCAATTAATAAAAGCAATTGGGACAAGGTAGCAAGTGCACGTATGAGATGCACTTGTAAATTCAATTGATATAATCAATTGAGCAGGTCATCAATTCAAGGAAAAACAATCCCAAAAATTTTTTTGGAAAAGAAATTAAAAGGTTTGATCTCTTGTCAATTGTTATGGAGATTTGGGTTGCCTAGAAACCCAAGCCCAAGAAAATGAAAGAAAAAGGATAAAAGAAAGGCCAAAGCAGAGGGAGGGGCCCTCTTCTGCTGTCACAAGCGATTAAACAGAAGGTAAAGCTCTGTTACATGAATTTTCTTCTTTATTCCTTGCATTTTGTCGGCTATTGCATTGCATGTTTGAATCTCTTCAAAAACTTAAAGCTTTTGCATTTGCATGAATTGCAGCTATCACCTGTCCTTTGCATATTCTCCTTCTATATTCTCTCAGGTTCAAATATATTCTGGAACTTTTCTTTTGACGATAATTTAATTATACACACTGATAATATATATATATATATATTAGAATCATTGTAATGTAATTGTACCATCTATATAAATTTTTTTCATGCCTCTTTCCATTTTTGTAACGCTAAACAAGCACATTAAATTGTCAGTTAATCTACTCTCTATTGTAAGAGTTGAAGTGGAACCAAGTGGGGATTGTTCATTTTTGACTTTTTTAAGTCGGATTCTAAATGGTTAGAACATTTGAATTAGCTCTACCATTCATATATGATCATAAGAAAGAAGTTTTTTCTGGCTAAACCAAATAGCTAGATTCCTCCTACTTTCAAGAAATTTCTTCTTCCTCGTATTAGTATTGCTTGATGCTCTATACTTTTTGTTGACGAATCAAGACTCGAGAAGATAAAGAAGAGTGGTTAGAACCTCTAAAAAGTTGGAAAAAGAAAAAGAAAATAGTTAAAGAAAGGCTATGAGGGGGGACCCTTTCAGCTGTTGCCTCGTTTATAGGGCTATCGTACACATGAATTTCTTCTTGTTTTTTCCCTCAAAATTTTCCAGCAACGTCGCAATGTATTGATTCCACGTGGCTTTTCAGGTTTGGTAAATGTGGTTGAAGATGTCATATGGGGCAGGGTATGGTGGAATCTTGTCTAAGTTCCCAAAATTGAGTTGTTTGTTCTTAGAGTGGATGTAGGTCAAGGTGAAAAACACTTGCTGAGTTATTTTTGGTTGGAAGTAAAAGTTACATTTTTTTTTTTTATAATCAAACTACAAAATAAGGTAAAATTGAAATTTTTTTGAATAATATGTTTGAATTGAGAGAAATAAAGGAAATAGGAATATTTTTTGTTTTATTTTTTTAATTTATTTTTTTATTCAAATAAAAGGAATGGAAGGAGAAAAAATAGGAGAATTTTATTTATTTTATTTTATGCAGATGAGGGGAAGAATTCCTCCCATCCTTTTTTCTTTGTTTTTTTTTTTTTTAGCTTAAATATATAATAAAAAATTAAAAATATGTATATATCTTAATTAAGAGTTAGAGGACAGAACAACAAAATCCGTTCAGGGATGGATGGGAGGCGAGGCGGGGCAGCGATGGGCAGAGCCACCCCATTCATGTTCCAGCCAACTTTGGAGATGGGAAAGATGGAACCATAGGAGGATTTTCAACGGAGCAAATTCTGCCAGTGCTCTCCCAAAAATGTTCGAGGGGGTGAGATGGAATTTATTAACATATACCTCAAATTGGACCGGTCTTATGCATGGACTAGGGTCTATCACTAAAAAGGCCCAAGTCAAAGGACAAAAGTAGTCTTCTAATTAAGACCTTGGCAGTTGGCAGTTAATAGGTCAGACAATGCAACATTATTAGTCACTCAAGTGACTAATTTCTTCCCTTTTTTCTTTTTTCATTTTTTGGGTATTTTGAGGTACAGTATAGAGCAACTTTTCTTTCTTTCTTTCTTTCTTCCTTTCTTTTTTTCTTAACAAGGTAATTTTTTACAAACATTTCTACCATGCTTTGGGAGATGGGGGAAGGGAATCTCGGGGAAATTGAATATATACCAAACTTGAGATGATGTTTTAATTAAAGGGCAAGTGATAGCATTCTGGTCTTATATAACTGGAAATCAGAATTTTTTTGTTTTTATTCAAAGAATATTAACATTAAAAAAAATATTATTACAAAATTAGGTAAGTAATTGATAATGATTAACTTTTACTTTATTATTTTTAAAATTTTAACAAATATTATTATTATTATTATTTTTTTAAACTCACTCTAAAAAATGAGTGGGAGGGGCAAGAATGGGAAGGTAGGTGCTCACCATGGTGGAGAGACTTGTGGAATCTAGATAGGAACATTGAGTCTAGGAGAAACTGGGTGAAAGAAGGAATGTTAAAATTAGTAGGGGACGGAAGTAATACTTTGTTCTGGCATAACATCTGGGTTGGGGAGATGCCACTTAAGGAGAAATACAATAGATTATTTGGGATCTCTTTAGATAAGGAGGCTGTCATTGCAAAAATGGGTAATTGGAATCAAGGGGTGTGGGAATGGACATGGAAGTGGAGGCGAAATCTTTTTGCTTGGGAAAATGAACTTTTGCAGGAATTAATCAAGGAACTACAAACAATCTCACTAAAACAAGGACAGCAGGATGCATGGACTTGGAAATATAACCAGGAAGGCAAGTACACAGTGAAGACAACATACAAACATTTATGTCAACAACACACTACAGGTACTACTTCTGGCCAAAGGTATGATTTGGTATGGAATAAAAATGTTCCTCTCAAAGTGAGTGCATTCGCATGGAAATTATTGCAAAACAGAATCCCAACAAAGGACAACTTGACAAGGCAGGGATTGAAAGGCCGAGATGATGACAAATGTGTGCTGTGTGGAGTAGAAGCAGAGAGTGTGGAACATCTTTTTTTCAAATTTGAGGTTTCATGGAGCATATGGGCCTCATGCTATGATTAGTGGAACCTCAAAATAGTTGGCCAAGGTAAAGGATGGCTACATATTGAGCAGCACACTGGCTTGGTATCCAAAGGACTCATGAAAGAAATGTGGATAGTAATTTGGTTTGCAACTATTTGGTCCATTTGGCTGTGGCGTAATCAGAAAATATTCAAAGATGAAGCCGATAGTTGGGAGCGGGTTCTTGAGCTAATAAAGTTCAGATCGTTTTACTGGTGCAAAACAACATTATGCCTAGATCTTGTGCAAGACAAATGGCGCTCCGAACCAAAAGAAGGACACAAGAGATTGCAGCAATGAGTTTGAGACTGATCACCATGTAATGAACCATGGAAAGAGGTTACACGCTAGTAGAAGTAAAGATGGATACCTACCTCCTAAAAGGCAAGTAAATGGTTGTCAAGTAGGTGGCTGATTACAATCCATTTTGCTCGGCATATGTATGGGATCTTTAATTGTGAAAGCCTTTATGTATTTGCAGTGTAATGGGTTTGGAGTACCCCCGGTACTCCATTAATACAATAAATTTTATTTGCTAATAAAAAAAAAAAAAGAATGATGTACGAACCTCATATCTCCAAATCTTAACATAAGAAACTCCTAACATGAGAATGGTGACTATTAGGCCACTAGAGTGTTCTCTATTTACTTGTCTCTTAAGTCTTAACTTCTTAAGAGTTGATTATTGTCTCATCATATGGTCACATTATTTTCAAGGCAAAATTGAGCATTATTTTAGTAATAATTTTTTTAATAAAAGTAAAAAATTATAAGTTTGAGTCATATAATATATAAATAAGATAAATTTAAAAAATATGATAATAGTATTTTTTATTGTACAATTCAATATATTAAAAAAGATTTTTCTAATATATATCATCAAAAGTACCTTTTTGGCATAAATGTATATATGAAAGATGTAAAAGATAACAATAATTTTGGTATTATTATCAAGCGAATAAATTTAATTAAATAATTAATAAATTAAAATTTAACTTTTGTTTTTTAATACAAATTCATGATAAAAAAAATATTTATTACATTTTTAAAGTAAAAAAAAAAAAAGGAAAAAAAGGGCACAATTAACCATACCACCTATAAAATTTAATTTAGACCAGATTTATTCTCCATTTCTTAGTAATTTCCTTCTTGCTTCCATGTCCCTAAAAGAGAGAAAAATGGTGCGAATAAAAAAGAGAGATAAATTCGCGTGTTAACTGGAGACCCCTGTATCCCGGCCGTGCAAGAGAACAGAAGCACCCATGACAAATTCTACTTCACGGGTCCTCCTTAACTGCTGCTTCACCATTCATCCATCCATCCCTCTTCCTTCCCTTCATTCATATGTAACCTTAACCAACAAACCAAATTCTAAATTCACTAACCCTCAACCCACCATACTACGATCCTAATAGCAAGCTAGCTAGCAATCAAGCTATGACGAAGAATTTGGCGGTTTTGATCATGGTCATAGTTCTTACGACCGGAATGTTGGAGAGCTCGAGAGCAGTAACTATCTGCAACATGAACGAGGACGGTCAAGATGCGTGTGAGCCGTCGGTGAAGAAGTCGAATCCGGTTGACCCATCACCGGCGTGTTGTGACGCTCTTAAAGGGGCCGACTTGTATTGCTTATGCTCTTATAAGGATTCGTTTATGCTTCCTATTCTTGGGATCGATCCTAAACAAGCCATAGCGGCGCCCCTCAAGTGCGGTCTCACCAATCCTGCTGATTGCCAAGGTGTTTGTTTGCTTTCATCTTTAAATTTAAAGACACCACTGTAGTCATTTGGGCTAGGAATAGTTTATAGACCATGGTCAAAGGTAAAAGATCTAGAGTTTTTAACGGCTCTACGTGGAATATAGGCTACCCAAAATCACATATCACAACCTAACAAAAAAAAAAAAAAAATGTGCGATGTAAATACGAAGAGAGAGTTACTTTCTTTACTGTTAACAGATTTTAAGTATTTTGTTTTTTGTCTCATATGTTGAATTTTCACACTATCAATTACTTGAGAAAAGGAATGTTCTATTTAGATTGGTCAAAAAAAAAAAATTGTTAGTTTTTACTAGAAAAATTTACTTTGACCATTAGTGAAGGGTCACACTTAATTGTGTCTAATTTAAAAAAACCCTAATTAATGTTAAAAGTGAAATTTGTAGTAACTGACATTTTAAAAGTGAAATTAATATACTAAAAATTCATTTTCTTTTAGATATTCATTAATAAAAAAATTTGAAGTTTGAGTCCTGAATTTAACTTTAAATAAGATTTTATGATTAAGGTATATCAACTCGACTAATCTTGATTTTGAGTAGCCTAGACTTATAGTCTTAAGCAAGCTCATGCTAATGGAAAATCAGAACAAGGAAAATGACAGGACCAGAACATGTAAAAGTGATATATGCTTAGTTTTATTTCATCATTACTTGGTTGTTTTCAATAATGGGGTAAAATATTGACAGCAACATTTTCCTTTCAGGCTAGTAGACAAGGCTATGTGAACAACGCCTATGCTCTGAGCAGTCAATAGGGCAGAGTCATTTTTATCAGCACTTAATAAGTAAAAGTTTAATCTATTAGTTATGTGAGGATGTATGAAACTTTTAGTTGTGTTTGTTAAGGTATTAGGAGAATTAATAGTGATTGATTCACTCTAAAATAATCAAATAGTATCTTCAATATTGAAGAATGAATAGATTGTATTTATGATATATATGTAATGGTTTTTATATTTTGTCTACTCTAAAGTGTATATGTAGCTCTTCATGCATGTCAAAATTTTAATAAAACGCATTTCTCTCAATTCTCTTTTCTTGCTCCTTTATGATTTAAATCTTAATAGTGATATCAGGGCTCTATACCTCTAATGAGCAACAAGGTCCTATAAATTTAAAATAGATTTGGGCCAGTTGTGTGGTGAGAACCCAAAAATTTAGGTTCTTTACAGTAGAAGAAGAGAAGGGAAGACATGGAAGGGGAGAACGAGAAAGAACAGAGGTGGAAAAGAGCACGTCAATGCTAGTGCCAAAGAAGAGAGGGTTGGGGGAAGAAGATATGGGAAGGGGTAGATTTGTAATTTAATGATATTCTATTTTATTAATATTTAAATTATTAATGATTTTTCATGTTTTCATGTCACGTTTGCCAAAAAAAAAAAGAAGGGCCTACCGCGCCACGTAAGCAAAAATCAGAATTTTACTTTCTATGTAATATTTTGAGTCAAGAAATTTAAAAATTTTGAGGATTTAACTGTGCTTGTCAACGTGTAATCGACGGGAAGGACCAAATACGTACAAGAAAAATTATGTTGAAGAATCAATGTGATATTTCTTTCCATTTTAGTCCAAAACTAAAAATGATCATTTAAACAATAATAAAAGCAGTAAACCCCGTGTGGACTTGATAAGTATATTTAATATTTTAATAATGACTAAAATTTAAATCATGATTATGTTATGTTATAATTTTTTATCCTTTATCTTCAAATTTTACCTCTAAAAAAAAAAACCAATAATAAAATATATAATAAAGAATTGCTCCCTTTTTTTAAATCTCTCTCACTTACCTAAAATCTAAGGCAAAACCTCCTCTTAAACCCCCAAATTTATCATAAATTAACATATAAGTCCCTAAAGTAATAATAATATAAATAAACCTTTAAATTCCTAGAAAGATATAAATTAGCCCTCAGTATTAATAGCCCAAAGCATGTGACCTCATGTCATTTGTCTTTCTTTTTTTTTTTTTCCTTTGCTTGATGAAAAATATTCATGTGAATGTTAAAGAAGATCAAAAGACTTCTTGAGCAGTGAAAATTCTGTTAAAACAATTTACGTGAACTAAAAACACTAGATAAAGAAAAGGGATCACGTGAGTTAGTTTGACTAGATTTTTACTGTCCAAGGGGTCATTTGATTCACATTAATATTCACATGAAAAAGTGAGATCAAGTGAAGAAAATGAATGGATAAAATGAGGTCACATGCATTGAGCCTTTAATAATGATGGCTTATTAGTATCTTTTATGGGATTTGAGAGCTAATTTGCATCATTCAGGGGGTCTAAGAGCATATTTACACCATTCTTAATTTAAGAGCTCACATGTTAATTTAGATAAGTTTGCAAACTTAAGAAGGTGTTTTGCCAAATTTTAAATATAAAAAAAAAAAATTTAGAGTATTACATTTTTAACTACAGTTGAGAGATATCCCTCAAAAATTTTGAAAATGAGAGATAAGATTATGTAGTATAGGTAGTTCAACGAGCCGAACCATATGACATTTTTTTTCCCTTTTGTATAGTCGAACCATATGATATTTGTTATAGTTTCCATGTACTTTATCAATGGGTTAAGATTGGCTTTGCTCTTATGAGATGCACTTTTAACTTGTAATTTAATTTTTTTTAGTATTTAAATTAAAACATTTTCAAATAATTTTTATCATGTACTTCAAAACTATCACATTGGCCCACCACATTCAAGTAAAATTTGTTTTTGAAAGACAAAAAAAATTTATTTATTTAGATCGTACAAAAAGTACTCTAACCTATATATATCAATTAGACATAGTACATATTATTAACCATGTTCAAGTAAAATAATTTAAAGTTTTAATGTTAACATAAAGAGGAAGCTACTCACTTATGTGGAGTGTTAACTTTCTAAAAAGTTCTCTTAGATGTTCTAGAGCTCGTTTATGCACAATATTTTTTACAATAAAATCTTATAAGACATGACATTAAATGAAAAAGTGTGCATATGTACATTTTGATTCCTCTCATTGAGTAAAATAAATTAATCATAATTATTATCACTTAAAATTGGGAGATATATATCATCTCAAGTAAACTTTATGTGCATCATTTTCTTTTAACACATAATCCACATATTAAGTATCAATGATAAATACACCTTTATAGACAAAAACATGAACAATGAAAATAATTAACTCCTTATTTAGTTTAAAGGAAACAAAAGGGACCCTCCCTTCCCTTCCCTTCCCTTCCCTTACCTTCCCTTCCCTTACCTTCCCTTCTCTTTATTATAAAAGAAATTAAATGGAATTCCTCCCCTTTTCTCTCTTCTCTCTCAATTTTTTTTTTTTATTTTAAACAAATGAATTTATTCATTTCTTTCTCTTAAACCAAACAAGTTATAAGGGTGATAATAGCTTGATCAATAATGAGATTTGCTTTATTCTATGTTGTTGACAAATAAACATGATTATGATTTAAAGAAGAAAAAAACTGCAAGGATCGAATTCTACAACGTTAGTTTTTGAAATAGAAGCTTGAAACCCAAAAAATAAAAAAATAATAACAATAATAATTAAAAAGCCTTAATCTCTTGTCAATTGTCATAGAGAATCTGGTTGGGTTGTCTAGAAAGCCCAAGCCTAAGAAAATGAAAGAGAAAGATAAAAGAAAGGCTAAAGTATATATAGAATAGGAGGGGCCCATACACCACCGGGGTCACGAGAGATTAACAGAAGCTGAAGCTCATGCCTCAGCTATACATGAATTTCTTATTTATTCTTTGCATTTTGTCAGCTATTGCGTGTTTGAATCTCTTCAAACCTTGAAGCCCTTGCTTTTGGATGTTCCTCCTCCTATATTCTCTCGTGTTGAAATATATTCTGCAGCTTTTTCTTTTCTTTTTTTTTTTTTCTCTTTCGATGAGAATTTAATTATACCCTAATTATAAAAAAAAAATTAAGAATCATTTGCAATTGTACCAACAAGCAACTTAAATTGCCAATTAAATTAATCCCTTTCTATTGAAGGAGTTGAAGTTGAAACAAACAGAGATTTCCCAAAATTGCTTACTATGAACTTGCATTTTTTTATATTGGGCAGGGTATATGTAATGTCCTGATTCATATTAAAAAATAGGTACAACTGTGAGTAATATATAAATATAAAGATTAACCACTACTTCTAACAACTATAATACAAATTTTTGAGTGTCTATAAGTCTTAACCCAAAGAATTATTAGAATAATATGGCAATATTTGACTTTAGGCGGAGTCTTTCTAATTTATGGGAATGATGTCACTCTAGAGTCATGGTTAATTGGTAGTAATGACTATTGCTTTGTCAAATTATGAAACAAATTAAATTTAATGAACTTCCTTAATAATCTAATATTGATGGTTTTTTTTACTAAATTAAGGAATGAATGAGAAATATGTTTTTTTTTTAAGAATATGTACTCCATAATTCTTTGCTAATAAAAAAAATATTAAGACTCCTAAGTCTCTATAAAAGTTTAACAATTTTAACATTTTTATAATTTAATTTTTTTTTTAAAAAAAAAATCTACCATCGTCCACCGAACTAGAAACTAGCCCTGGGAAATTTTCGCCTGAGCAAATTATTCCTTTGTCTCCACTTCTGCCAATGCTCTGGATCACATAAACATAACATAAACCTCAAATTGGACCGGTCATATATATGGAGTGGGGTCTATCCCTAAAAGGCCCAAGTCAAGGCACAAAAGTAGTCAGTTGTCCTGTTTTATTTATTTATTTATTTTGATGAAATAGAAATTTCATTAAAGTAAATTAAGGTTAAAAAAAAAAAAAGATCCCATGCATAGTACAAATTATTTTTTTTAAAGTAAAAATTACATTGGTAGTATTAATATCTACATTAAAAGAATAAGAAAATGTCGAGTTAAGGACTCAACCTGAAGAATTAGGGTGTCCTCACCTATTTCTCAATAAAAAAACATGATCACGATGACTACAACGACCACATAAGTGAAAGGTAGTGCAAACATTTCTATTATGAAAATATAAGAGAAACAAAAGCGCAGAATAGTATCACAAGTGACAAAAGTCTTCTCCATGAGAACTCTATATTTGGTAAGGTAAATCAATCATACCATTTACTTCACGGTATGCACGCTTGATCAGCACCTGCTCAAATTGATCAACAATCCACATGAAGCAATTAATCTCTTGTGAATTGTGTTTGTCACAGAACTGTCATTTATTGGAGTGTTAACTACAAATGTGGAGTCAATTTCAACTTCAAGCTTCTTTATCCTCAAATTAAAGGCTAATTCCAGGCCAGTTTTGAGACCTCAGAGTTCAGCATCATTATTGGTCCCATACCCAAGATTTTTTACAAAACCCATGACCCAGGTACCCTCATGATCTCTAATGACTCCGCCGGCACCGGGGTAGTTTTGAGCGGGGGAGCTAGAAGAACCATCAGTGTTCATTTTGAACCACCTCTCCTGTGGAGAATCCATCTAACGAGGATATAAGATAGGAAATAGATTTTTTGAGATGGGGATTGGAAGAGCAGAGTTCTACGGTAAGGCCCATGGTCTTACTAGCAATTCCTTGCAAGTTGGACCTATTTTTATTTTACTTTGAAGACAGAGGGCAACTTTTCTCACTCTTTAATTTACTACATTTTTATATTGTGTACTTTAAAATTAAAATTATTATTTTTAATGAAAAAATATTATTATTAAATTATTTAAATAATTTATCGAGTTAACAATTTTTATTTAATTATTTTTACATTTCTAACAATAGTATTTTTTACATCTCTTTATTTTTATCTTTTTTTTTTTTTTGGTGAAAATGGAAATTTCATTGAAGCAAATGAAGTTTTACAAAAATTGGTCTAATACACAATACAATCATTTCTATCATGAGAGTAACTAGAGGAACAAAAATGCAGAATAGAATCAAAAGTGACAAAAGGGGCTTCCATGAGAGCTCCATGTTTGGCAAGTGTATTAGCCACACCATTTGCTTCACGATATGTGTGCCTGATTAACACCTACTCAAACTGCTGGATTAACAATCTATAGGAGGCAATCAAAGTCTTGTGATTTAAGCATTTCACATAGCAATCTTTTAGAGCATTGACAACAAATATAGAATCAATTTCCATTTTTAGCAGTTTAATCTCTAATTTAGCAGCTAATTCCAGGCCAGTTTTAATGTCCCAAAGTTCAGCATCATTATTGGTCCCATATCCAAGATTTTGCGTAAAACCCATGACCTAGGTACCTTCATGATTTCTAATTACTCCACCAGCACCAGTGTAGGTTTGGGTGAAGTTAGAAGATCCATCAGTGTTCATTTTAAACCACCCCTCCCTTGGGGAAAGCCATCTAACAGGAAGGTAGGTGCAAGGAGTAATTTTCCTAAGATGGGGATTAGAGGAGCAGAGTTTTGTAGTAAGACCCATGCTTTTTGAGGCAATTTCTTACAAATTAGAGCAATTATGGAAACAAAGATTGTTTCTATCACATCATAGGTTCCAAACAAGGTAACAGAAATAAGTTGCCTAAGGAATTCTAGGATGGGTGACCCAAAGTTTAAAGGTGTTGTTAGCTTTAAGCTAGTTAAAGAGGTTAAGTCGGAAACTACCATGGAGAGCAGACGGGATGGGTATGGATTTCTAGAATTTAATGATAACAAGATAGTCTCTAATAAGGTGAAGGGTTGTTTTTAGGGTTGAGTTACAACAAGGGCATACAACAGGTAATTGTATACCACGAGAAGCTAAAAGAAACCTAGAAGGGATTTTATCATGAGCAAGTAGCCATATGAAGAAATTCATTTTGGGAATAATGGGACATTTTCAAATCCATTTCCATGAAACTCCCCTATTTTGTGGCTCAAAATTACAGATCATATGATAAGTAGAGGAGAGTGTGAATGATCCATTAAGGGTAAATTTCCAAGATATATAGTCCTTTTCTAGGGGATTAGCAAGTGCGAGGTAAGAAAGCACAGTGTATTCAGGTGGAGGTGGGAGGTGATAGTGGAGCTCTTCAAAAGTAAAGAGGAAGGCAATGGTATCATCAACTGTGAAGGAGGAATGCTCAACAGAGAAGGGACCTTGAATGTTTTTGTCAATGGGGACAAAGGGGATCTAATGATCTTGAAGGAAATTAACTTGAGTGCCTTTGTTGATGTTCCATGAAATTCCTTCAAAGAAGGACATGTAATTTTTGGTCATTGCTTTCCAAATGTGGGAAGAAGGATTAGTAGATCTTTGTAAGGATTATTTGGCGTGGAGTAACTTAACCCAAGGATAGTGTGGCAAGGTGAAGAAGTACCAAATGAGCTTAAGAATAAAAGGTTGGTTAAGCTTATTACACTTCTTGATACCCAATCCACCCTATTCTTGGGGTAAGCAAACAGTATCACAACTCATGAGATGTATTTTGCACTTGCTGAGCTCATCAAGCGAAAGAAAGTCATGAATGAGTCCATCAAGAAAGGTGCAGATACTTACAAGAAGTGAGGTACATTGCATAACATGCATAGGAAGAGCACAAAGGGTTGATTTAATTAAGGTAAGTCTTTCTACAAGTGAAAGAAGTTTGGTTTTCCAGCTTGAGAGTTTTTGTTTGGCCTTATCAGTGATGAATTTAAAGTCAAATTTAGTGGGCTTCTTAAATACAATAGCAAACCCAAGGTATTTACCCATATTGGTGGCTTTCTTAAGGCCCCAAATGGCACAAATAGAGTTACTAGTTTCTGAACAAACATTTGGTGAGAAAATGATGAATTTTGCTCTTTTTCTGTTATAGTCAAACTAATTGAAACTCTTATTAAGAAAAGGTGTGGAAAAGGAAAGAGAGAGCTCAAACTTTAATCATGTAAGTGAGAGAATATCTTTTTATTTATAATTTAACTAACAAAATAATATAATTACAATTACATGTAATATTATAAATTTATAATATAATATATAATCGGGAAACTGGATCTCAGCCGGTCCTCCTAATTTTTTTGTCGGAATGATTTATTAAACGGCGTCGTTTCAAGTTAAAAGCATAAAATCCCAAGTTTGCTC